GACAGGGCGAAGCACAAGTCGCCGAGCTCCTTCCCGCGCACGTCCAGCGCCTTCGCGGCAGCGTTGAAAGCCGCAGCCGCCTCCTTTCTGTTGACCATTCGGCCTTCTTTCTGCTGACTACTGCTCGTCCGTGCGTTGCGATGTTGGGTGAACGCCTTGTAACCCTTCAACTACACTCACAATATACCGCTGCACTATTCTCTCCACTCCTGCCACATCATGTTTCACCGACATACTTCGGCATCTTCCGCATCTATATACTTTAGTACGTGGTCAGCTGCTTCACCAGGACCCCGGTGTTTGATTGATGCATATTAATGATACAGTGCTTGGTTAAGCAGCCTCTCGCACAATTGTGTCCGGTCGTACTGTGCCGAATAAACGGTCCGTACAAGACGGCCCAAAGCCAGGAGCGAACTTTACCGCGCGGATGCGCGCGTGCGATTCGCAAAATGCGCGTGTACAAGTGTATGAAATTTATTTGGGCGAAAGGCCGCGGTGTGTCAGCGCGGTGCGCAGGAGGGCATGTTGGCCACAGTCGCACGCGGCATGCAGGCCGGAAATGTGGGTAGCTGCTTAGCCGTAACTGAAAGAACTGAAAGCATACGACGTAGCTTGCAAGACTAGGCTCATAAAACGGCCGCGGGAAGAGGTATGCTCGGTAGCGTGCGAGTTTACCTATCATGATGTTTGTTTGCATATCCCTCCAAGCGAGAGGGCTTGGACCTATGCTGATGTTCGTTACAAGAAGTGAACTGAGGACTGATGCTACACGTCATGTATACGCGTTGCTTAGCTTGCAATGTGACGCGCCCGGTGTTTGCAACGTGAAGAATTTGGACTCGCTCGTCGTTGGATCGGAGTCCCAAAGCGAGCACAGTTCCCTGATATTTTGCAATATGCGCATCCCCATATCTGAGTTTTCTCCTCCGGTCGTAAGCTTCGTGCTGCTGCAAGCGACCACAACTCATGGTCGCATCCGTGCCTTTCCCTCGCGGCTTTTGGAGGTGCTAACGAGCTGCGGGGTACATGGGCTGGTGGTGTATGCCAGTAAGTGCTTGCGGTCTGTGAGCGCCTATGCTTGGGCTGGGTTTGTGCCCCAGGACGTAGGTGTGCGACCGTTGGGTGCCGCCAGCCTGCCAAACATTCAACCACTGGAGTTTGTCAACTCCTTAATACTGGCTTTCGGCATCTTGTGGGTTGCTGCGGCCAACTGGGCCAACTGGGTACTGGCCCGCCAAGCATGCAGGGCGGCCGGGCGCACAGGCGGTGCTCGTGTTGGCTTGCCTCTTGCCCCTTCGGGCGGAGCCCTTGCGGTCGCATCGGGGCCTTCTCGGTTAGGGCTTTCTGCAGAGCCCTTCAGAGCGCTTCAGAGCCCTTCAGAGCCCTCCAGAGCCCTTCAGAGCCCTTCAGAGCTCTCCAGAGCCCTTCAGAGCCCTTCAGAGCTCTCCAGAGCCCTTCAGAGGCCTCCAGAGCCCTTCAGAGCCCTCCAGAGGCCTGTGCAGATCCCTCCAGAGGCTGAGCGGCTCTGAAACAGCCCGTGTCAGGAATGCCAGACCACCCTGGAGGTAGCAGGAAGCCGCCTTTCTATGAAGCATTGGGAAAAAGCACGCTTTTGAAGACCTTCATGTTCTTCCCCGCTTATATGTGTTGCAGGTACCAGCTGGTACCAGCTGTGCAGTGCGCGTGGCTTGCTTTTTATGCAGGGTCGCCAGGTTGAACTACCAAGGGGCCCCGGCCTGCACATCATAGCCAATGTCAGTAAGAGTATGTTTTCAGTTTTGACTGAGTTTCAGCTGAATTTTGATCGAGTTTCTACCCAGCTACTCGCTGAGGGCTACATAGACACGTGCATGCGGGATAGCACACCTCCTGCTCAAGGTGTTTGACCTGTACAACAGCACGCAGCACGCAGCAGACCAAGGAGACACCTCCAGGGCTTGCATCTTCCGGGGTTTTAGGCCACCTGGGCCACTGCCGCTGGCGAGAAGAGCTTTGCCACGTTCTCACCCACGGCACCCAGGGCCAAAAAAATGCTACTTTTTTAGCGTGGTGGGGGGGCTCCGCCCTCTGATGAGGCGTTCGCAGGTGTGGACTTCATGCTGTCCCTGCACAAGGGGCAGCATGCTAAGAACACGCGCGTGGTGAGTGGGTTCAAGCCTGGTGACCGTGTACGATTGTTGGAGGGCACGGGGCTGTTCGACAAGGAGAAGGCCACCTATTCACAGGATATTTTTACACCGTGACTCGGCAGAAGGGCTATAGGTTCGCCGTGGAGGGCAAGTGACGCCTGCATAGCCGGTCGGAAATGCTGCTGGTTCGTGAAGTGACTACAGGGTAGCAGGCGGGGTGAAGCGCCAGGCAGAGGCAGCACAGGAGCAGCGCCAGGTGCGGCGTGTTGCACGTGCTCTTGCCACAACTCAGCAGCAGGCTACACGCGCTATTGAAGCTCAAGAGGCACCACCAGCTGCGCCTGCAAACAAGCCTGCGGGCAAGCGTGGCAGCAGGAAGGGCAAGCGAGAGCAGGTGCGTGGCGAAACACACTTCGAAGTGTCGCGCTTCGAGGACAGCAAATTTGTAAAGGGCAAGCTGCACTTTTTGGTGAGATTTGAAGGATTTCCCAAGGCCCAATGGCTGCCCGTGGCTCAGCTGCAAGAGGACCTGAGCTCCAATGCTTACCGCGCGCTTCGCAAGGCGATGAAGAACTGACACTAGCCGCTAATTACTCACAAGAGCAAAAAGATTAAGAACAGCCTCCATTGTTCGACTTCGGAGTTTCCTCCGAGTTTCCTCCGAGTTGACTGAGTTTCCCTTGAGTTTCTGTGCCGCGCTCCTTTCGCCCCACAGCGCGGCGCCGCCCCGCCGCGCCAGTTTCAGTGCAGCCCCCTTGCGCGGCGGGGGACTGCACCAGCCGCCCCCCGCCGCGCCGGTCAGCCGCAGCCGCGTGTGAGCTCTGATGCAGCTCGATCGTAGGTAGGAAGACTGACGCGCCACACCGGTGCATGCAGTGCACCGCACGCGGCCATGTCCTCACCTGGCTGTATCACATCACATCCCATCACATCCCACACGCCATTTCCCAGCGCGGCGGGGACGGCTGGCGCCGCCCCGCCGCGCCAGTTATAGTGCAGTCCGTGTGAATCCCGTGTGCAGCCCAGATGCAGCTCATGGAAAGGCGCAGCCCCATGCATCCCATCTGAGTTCATCACGCAGTGCATCACGCAGCTCACACGCAGCTTCCCAGCCGGCACCACACGCTACTGCCAGCTCCCAGCCTCCCACTCGTGCGCCACGCCAACCGCCAGCCACCACCCCCTGACCTCCGCCGTACACCTATTTGCACTCATGTCGCTTCGCAGCCGGTCTCCCGCGCAACTTCCAGCTCCCAGCCGTACAGCTACCCGACTCATGCCAACGACCCGTGTGCGTGTCCCCAGGCTCGACAGCTTCCCAGCCGGCCCGCCGTACAACTACCAGCTCCCAGCCGCGGCAGTTACCGACACCCAACCGCAGCTCCTGTACGGCTGAGGGGGTTGGGGCGCCGTAAACGAGTTTGTTGGGGTTAGTCGGAGCTGTCCTAGAACATACATTATACTATTCTTTAGAAGTGATGAAATGGGAGGTGGCCCTCCATCTTGCGGACGGTGTAGGACATGATAACATCAACTTGCGAGCTGACCAGGAACTAAGTTGAGGCGCCGTTGATCCGCTAAATTAGGTTGGATGCTGGTGGTAAGTTGCTGAACTCAACGAATACATTCTGAAGTCGGATGGGGTGAACGGATTAGGGTGCCCCTCTAGCAGGGGAGAGCAGGGAACTGCCTCGGGAAAGGGGGCCGTTGGTGAAGCTTAACCACCCTGTAACAACATACATACACACATGCATATACATGTTGCATGTCGCAACACCAACGCGGCTACATGTCTATTGACACGGCATACAGTAGTATACCGGTTTGGCTGCGTGATTGCGTTACCCCACACCCCCTGTTACGGCGTTTTTTCGTGTGTTGACACGGTATGGCTGGCTGGCTGGCTGCCTTGCACTGCTAGGTGTATATGGTACATCCACTCGCTAGTAGTTAGTTGCCGCGGGTGACGAATGATGACGCTTGCCCCCATGGTTTGGTTGCCTTGTTACTGCTGTTACTGCTGTTGCTGCTGTTTCTGCTGCAGAAATTAGCTGAAAGGTGTGTCCCATGACTCTCCTTTCGCGCGATGATACCACCGGGGGGGGTCATTAGCGGTTAGCTGGAATATGTCGTACTCCCCACTGCTAAGACTGTTACATTCGTTGTGAAAGACAATGTGACTGCCTCACATTCATGTGCATCGTTCAGAGCAGCAGCAGCAGCAGCAATGTCAACCACCACGCTGCCAACTCACCACCAACCCTCGCTTCTGTGGCACCACCATCCCTATCTCCCTACCTCTCTCTATGTATCTATCTATCTGTCTATATCTACCCGATTGTCGCTCAGAGCGAGTGCGTCAGCATGGGAGAGCATATCCCTCATATCGCCCATTATGGATGAAGGATGAAAGCCTTCAGCTAGATGTGGCCTCGGTGAATATCTGCTTGCAGCAGCCGGCGGCCCACACTTGGCTACACAAGGACACATGAAAACCGAAAAGGTTGCTCATTGGTCACCAGATCGATCGCCGCTGCCGCCATCACCCACTAAATAATTGGCGCTGGTGCTGCTGGCGGTGCTGCCGCCACCGCTGCTGCCTTGGCTGCCCTCCTCTGACTCTTAACTTCCAGGAACATCGCCTGACAGGGATGATGGGGATGATGGGGATGGCGGGGATGATGGGGATGATGGGGATGATGGGGATGATGGGGATGGCGGGGATGATGGGGATGATGGGGATGATGGGGATGATGGGGATGACGGGGATGATGGGGATGGCGGGGATGATGGGGATGGGGGTGGTGTTGTGGGGGGTCGGCAATGGGTGGGTTCAGAGCTATACTGAACAGACAGCTGTCCTCGACCAGACAGAGGAACCCCCCAGGCAGTGGCAGTGGCAGTGGCGGCACATGACATGACATGGCATGTGCGAGATATCCCTTGTGCTGTATGTATGTATGTGCTGTGTATGTATGTATGTCCTTCGGGGGAATGCGGCCCTCTTCCGTTTTCGGAGAGATAGGAGGAGCTAGCTTCGTTCCGGAGGTAGTTATTACCCCTACGTGCGGTTAGGTGGCAGCCCCGCTCTCTACCCGGTACGAAGGTACGACTGTATGTACGAGCGTAATACTTCAAGAAACTTCACAATAAAAACACATTCTCGTGCGGCTGCGAGCCCCTCACCCTCATTCGCTCCAGCACCTCATTGAAGGTGGGACGGTCCCGTGGGTCAGTGGACCAGCAGCGGCGCATCAGAGCCGACCACCCGGGTGCCAGCTCTGGGGGCCGGGGCTCGGAGGGAGGCCAGTCGGGATCACCTGATGGGGGAGAGGGACAGGGTGCTGTCGTACGAAACACACGCACATGTTCGTCACTCCTCAACGCTATCCCGCTTTGTCCCCCAAGCACACACACCGCGACCTTCCGCTATCACACGCTGTCCATTACCCGACGTCCGATGCAAACGATAGTACACACCGCTGTAACCGCTGTAACCGCTGTAACCGACGCAACCGATGTAACCGATGTAACCGATGTCCCCTTAGGATGTTCAAGGACATTTCCCGCACATGGCCATATACACTCCTTAAGTACTGCTACTGCACACGCACGTCCTCTACCTCTACCTGGCACAGGCGGTCTCGGAGCCCCTCCGGACACCACCGCGGTCAGCAGGGCTCGCATGTCCGCACCCGCCCAGGGCTCCGCACGAGTCCACAGGCTCCACATGATCATGCCGTACGAGTACACGTCCGCCTGGGGGCCAGGGCGGTTCGGGGTTGGGGGTGGTTGAGACAGACTGACTGCGCTAGCAAGGGCCACATCACACATTGGGTTTGGGGGCTCACGTGGGGGCCGTCTGTGCGCATGTATGTATGTATGCCTGTGTGAATGACTGGGTGTGTGTAGCGGCCTCCCGTATCATCCATGGCTGCACTTCCCTACACACGCCCACACACGCGCGCACGCACTCCCACACGCGAACGCGAACGTACGTACCTTTTCTGTGACGTCGTGCGGCGTCCGGAGCACCTCCGGTGCGGTCCAGGGCAGACTGCGAGCCAGCAGCGCCTGAGGGGCCTGATGCCCACCATGATGCGGCGGTTGACCGCCACCACCACCACCACCACTGGCGGGAATCAGCTGGTTCTGGTTCCGTTGATCCTGGCGGCGGCCTGATGCGGGCGGCTGAAAGGGGGGCTGTGACGGGGCCTGCAAGGGGGCCTGCAAGTGCGGTAGCGAGGGGGCCTGCAAGGGGTCAGCGGAGCTCACTGGCCCCCCGCCGCCGCCGCCGCCAGGCCTCGTCGCCGTATTCGTACTGGTACTCGTACTCGTACTCGCACTTGCACTCGTACTCGTACTTGCATTCGTACTCAGCACCGCGGTACCGACACCTCCTCCAGTGTCTCCTCCTGCTGCTGCTGCTGGTGCTGGTGACGATGGAGCTGCAGCCGGCGATGGCGACAGTGACGGTGACGGCGACGGCGGAGGCAGCAGTGTCGAGGCCATCCGCGCCATCGCCACCGCCGCCAACACGGTGGGGCGCCGCAAACCGAAGTCGCATACCTGCAATAATAAACAACCATTAACCGCTAACCGTTAAGGTACGTTTTCCGTTACAACGGCACACAACAGGTCCGTACGGTACGAGTACAGCTAACAAGATATGGCTATATACGACAAAAGGCTGACGGAGTAGACCCCCCAAACAGTGCGGCATTCATTTGTTGATCGTCCCGCAAGGGCCCAATTATCTCTCTCCCAAAGGATTTTTGTCGACTGTTTCTTGACGTTCTCATTTGTTTGGTAACACTAATTTATAGGTCTCATGTCATAGTACGTATTTCATTACATACTTCTTTATGGCAGGCGGCTGGCAGAGGTTAAGGCCTGACTTCTGCTCCCAGTCGACCCAGTCGACCCGGGTTCAAATCCGCCTGCCGGCTCCTCGGGTGTTTGAGGAGTGATGAAATGGGAGGTGGCCCCCCATCATATGGACGGTGTAGGACGTGATAATATCAACTTGCGAGCTGACCAGGAACTAAGTTGATGCGCCGTTGATCCGCTAGATTTGGTTGGATGCTGGTGGTGAGTTGCCGAACCCAACGAATACATTCTGAAGTCGGATGGGGTGACGGATTAGGGTGCCCCTCTAGCAGGGGAGAGCAGGGACTGCCCCGGGAAAGGGGGCCGCTGGCGAAGTTAACCACCCTGTAACAACATACTTCTTTATAGGTGCCGAGGTCGCGCGTGGCGCAAATCCTCAGCCTGACAAAAATTGCCACCAAAAAATTGCCACCACCACCACCACCACCACCACCATCAACAACAACAACGCTTTGCACTCTTTAGCGAGGGAGAGAGAACGAGGTGGAGCGAGGGAAAGAGGTCGTTAACGGGCCGATGTTACAAACCCAATGGCACAAGCCCGGACTGTACGACGGAGCAAACGACCATATCGACCATATCGTACTATGTAGTACGAGCTGACCTTGCAGGACGGCTGCTTCTCTGAGAAGCCCACGAGCAGGTTGCCGGTCTTGAGGTTCAGATGTACGACACCCCGGGAGTGGAGATATTCCATACCCTGCGACGTGTGGGTGTGGAAGGGTGTTGTAATAAGAGGGAGTCTGTGTGTGTGAGCGTGTGTCTATAGTACCCGCCATCCCGCGTGCATACATACGTGCATACATACGTGCATACATACGTGCATACATACGTGCATACATACGTGCATACATACGTGCATACATACGTGCATACATACGTGCATACATACGTGCATACATACGTGCATACATACGTGCATACATACGTGCATACATACGTGCATACATACGTGCATACATACGTGCATACATACGTGCATACATACGTGCATACATACGTGCATACATACGTGCATACATACGTGCATACATACGTGCATACATACGTGCATACATACGTGCATACATACGTGCATACATACGTGCATACATACGTGCATACATACGTGCATACATACGTGCATACATACGTGCATACATACGTGCATGGGAAGGCGGCTGGCAGAGGTTAAGGCCTGACTTCTGCTCCCGGCCGACCCGGGTTCAAATCCGTCTACCGGCTCCTCGGGTGTTTGAGGAGTGTTGAAATGGGAGGTGGCCCCCCATCATATGGATGATGTAGGACGTGATAAAATCAACTTGCGAGCTGACCAGGGACTAAGTTGATGCGCCGTCGATCCGCTAGATTTGGTTAGATGCTGGTGGTGAGCTGCTGAACCCAACGAATACATTCTGAAGTCGGATGGGGTGACGGATTAAGGTGCCCCTCTAGCAGGGGAGAGCAGGGACTGCCCCGGGAAAGGGGGCCGCTGGCGAAGTTACCCACCCTGTAACAACATACATACGTGCATACATACGTGCACACACACACACACATCCACACACACGCACATACCTGAGCTGCATCCAGAGCAACCTTTATCCGCGCCATAGGGGACTTCACCTGCACGGTCCACAGTTCAGTAAGAGGCAACTAACTATAATCCGGTTTGCAGTACAGTATCTGAAACAGTTAGGCGGTTGGTACGGAAAAGACTTACGATGCGTGCGAACCTCGGCGAACCTCGGCCAATGATCACAAGTAACTACCTTGCTCAAGCACTTCAACCACCTCAACTACCTCTGCCGCAACTACCTCCCGCCGTACAAGACCAAGTAGAACAACAAGTCTATCACCACTCCTCCACCCACCACCCACCACGTCCGAGTGCCGCCTGAGTGCAGACCGGATGGAGTTGCCGGTGAGGTACTCGGAGAGCAGGGCGGGGCCGGATATGGCGTGACACGCCACTAGCCTGGGGGGTGGGGGGGGGCCGCCGGATGGGGGGAAAGGACGGAAGGGGGGGTTAACAGGTAGCAGGCGCGCGGAAAATGCCGAATAAGATTTAGATATTATTATTTTATTTCGCTATTTATTTCTTTATTTCTTTTATTGGTTATTAAATGCATTATTGCTACTACACACACATACATACATGCACACACCGGCTGTTCTCCAGCTCTGCCGCTTCCGTACCCGCCGACGTACCGCCGCCCGTACTGCCGGCAGCCACTACGCTAGGTGCCGCCGCCAGCAGCACCTTAGAGCCCAGACGCCGTACAGGTGCACCAGACGCCGACCGTAAGAGGGTGGAGGAGCTGCTGCGCCGCGACAGCGGCGACGGCGACACTGCCGCTGGGTCGCCGTACCTGCGCGGCGGCGGCGCCGCCGCCGCCGCTACTGCCGATTGACTTGCAAGACCCGTGAAAGGGTGATGATGATTCTGGAATGGGCCCTGAGGGCTGCCGATTTGTGAGGTGGCTGTAGCACCGCCAGGCAGTTGTAGCGATAGCGGTTGTTGCTGCTGCTGCCGCTTTCCGTACTCGCCGCCTCTGTTCTCCCCGCCCTCCTGCTGCTGCTGCTGCTCCTGCTGCTGAACCCCCGGCTCATCTCTTAGGCGTACGGCAGTCCAACTGGCGCCGCCATTACCACACAAGCCACCGTCGGAGCCCCCTCGGGTGCGCTGGGGCAAGGGCAGTATTGGCGGCGGCTCCACAGCGGCCGCCGTGGCGGCGGCGGCGGCGGCGTTCGCAGTCCCTCCCGGCGCCAGGGAGGGGGCCGCCGGTGTTCCGCCGGCCCCCGTCAGCAGCGCCTGCAGCTGGCTCTCCAAGGAGGCAGCTCGGATGGTGAGCTGGCGCTGGCTGAGGGGTGCAAATGGCGACAGGAACGACCCGTGGGTCGGGGCCGCCGCCGCCGCCGCTGCCGCCGGCGGCGGCGGTGATGGATGTGGTAATCTGTGGGCGCTGGCGGCGCCGGCGCCGGTGTCGTCGGCTGCAAAACCAGGATCAAAGTCTGCAGCGGAGGCGGCGGGTGTGAAGGCTGTTGTACTCGCGTCGGAGCCGGCAGATGCCGGCTCCTGCGCTGCCGCTGACCTCGTCCAGAGCTGATGCCCGGCGGTGTCGTACATCGCGTCCATCATGTCGCCATGTGCAGTACTGTACAGCATGTCCGAGTCCGCATCCGACCCGGAGCTGCCACCGCCGATATCACCGCCGCTGCTGCTGTCGCCACCGCTGACGCCGACGCCGCTGGTGCCGGACGACAATGCGGCGCTATCACCGCCACCGTCGACGCCGCCGCCGCCGGACCGTTTTCCCTGGCGTTGGCTGACTCCCCATGCCCCACCGTCGCCTACTACGATGCCGCCGAACGATCCTAACGCGCTGTCGTACCGTTCGTACTCATCACTTGACGATGAGACGTAGCCGCTGCCGTTAGAAAAGCAGCGCCTGTGAGTGGTGCTGGCGCCGCCACCGTCACCACCGCCGCCGCCGCCACCGGCCTTCTCCTCCTCTTCCTCCTCCTCCCGCCGCCGCCGCCGCCGCTGCTGATGATGATGATAGGTGTGTCGCGCAAAGCCCGTCATCTCCCCCGGTACGGCGACAGGCCGACTTTCGTACGGCCCAAGGAGCGGCGGCTCCAGGGCTGGTCCATCGTGTCTCTCCAGGGGACCCGGCAAAGAGAAGCGCACAGAGTGGGGCTGCGGCAAGTGGTCGTAATGTTGATGATGATGTTGATGATGTTGGTAGTGATGATGACGCTGACGGGCATCGGGCAAATGATGGCTTCGGGCGACGTGGTCATGGCGGCGAAGATTGCCGCTTCTGTCGTCGCCGCCATCGCCGCCATCGCCGCCATCACCGCCATCGCCGCCATCGCCACCATCGCCGCCATCGCAGCCGTCGCCGCCATCGCCACCATCGCTGCCGTCGCCGCCGTCGCCGCCGTCACTGCCGGCGCCCGCGGGATCATCACCATCACCATGATGGCGACCTCCCCCGCCCACCCTCGCCCGGGACCCTTCCTTTTCCTCTTCTGCACCATGAAGCGTCACAACACGGCCGCCGCGTTTGTGGCCGCTGCTACTGCCGCCGGCATTTGCCGTATTATCAGCAGCGCTGCCGGTACTGACCGCCGCACCCGCCCCTGAACCCCCTACCGGTCGTCGTACTGCTACTGCCGCATCTCCCTGTGCCGTCTTTCTGCCGGCGGCGGCGGCGGCGGTGTCAGCGGCGGGAGGCGTGAGGGAAGCGAAGGTGCCGCTGCTGTCGTCATTGCTACTGCCGGTGCTGTGTGTCTGCTGCTGTTGTTGCTGCTGCTGTTCCTGCAGAGGCGCCGCCACCACCGCCGCCACCACCGCCGTCAACGACGTTGACTGTGGCTCATCTTCCGTTGACCTCCTGGTGCCTGTGACGGCGGGGAAGCAGTTAGAGGCGGCGGTTAGGAGGCTGTTAGGAGGTGGTTTAACGAGTTTGGCGCCCTACACCCCCTGACGGGGGGAGAGGAGCTAGGGCAGCCGGACACTTAGCGAGGAAGAAAACCACATAGCGCATCAACCACCACACCACACCAATCCAGGCCCCTCTCAAGTAGAAGGGGGGCTGCCCTGGTGGCAATGGTAGCGGGTACTAAACCCGGAAATGTCACTTCACTGACAGAACTTCACAGAAATAGGCACACATATGGATGATGTTGACGATGATGGGCCCCTCCCCCAGGTGGTAGGGGGACTGCCAGCGGGAGGCTAGCAGGCCCGCGGGCGGCAGCCCCGCGGGTGAAGCTATATATACTCCTATGTGTTCTGATTAAAGCAGAATACATAAGAGAGTACATGCCCCTCGGCCCATGCCGTACCGAGGGACGAGCATTCGCGAATGGACGGCAGCCGCCTGCTACGTTGTAATCCGGACAACACGATGGTCGGCGTCACCGAGCGCGAGAGTACTGCACCGCCGCCGCCGCTACCGCCGCCGCCGCCACGAGCGGCACCGCCTTGCTCGTCATCCCCCGACTCGTCATCGTCACCACCACAACCACTAGCAGCTGTTGCGGCACTGCCGCCGCCGCCGCCGCCTGTGAACGGGGCTGCGAATCCAAGAAATACAGATACAGGTGGTACGACACGAGGTGTCCATGGCCCCGAGACCACCGTGTCCGCTTCCGCCGCTGCCTTCTCTACATCGGCCTCCTCCGACGCGCCGCCGCCGCCGCCGCCGCCGCCGCGGGACGGCAGCGGCGCCGGAGAGACGATCCCACCGCCGCCGCCGCCGCCGCCGCCGCCAGGTCCGCCAGCGCTGCCGGTGCTCCCCATACCGCCCGGGTGCGTGCTTGCACGGCTGAGAATGGCACTGGGCGTTACGGCGCTCACTGTACGACTGCCGTACAGTGACAATCCCTCATGCGCGCCGCTGCTGGGCTCGTACTCGCTCAGCAAGATTGACGACGGCACGGAGGAGGGCGATGGCGGCGGCGATGGACCGTGCGCGCGAGCGGGAACAGCTAAGGGCCCGGCGGCCGCCGCCTCCGCCTCCGCTACTAGGTGTACTGGCACCGGTGACGGCAGCGGCAGCGGCGGCGCCGCCGCCGTGGCCTTTTCCCCCCGTGGCTTGGTCGAGTAAGTGGTCGGGTATTACGATAGCGTACAGACGGGCGATGTTGGCGTGTCGTAGGCGGCACAGCAGCCGCGATTGCACCAGCAGCTCGTCCAGTACGGCCATCTAGTCAACGGAAGGCACGCAGGCATATGTGCATATGTTGTCTGTTTGCATCTGGACATGTCCGCAGCACATGTGTGTATGTCCGTATATACGTATGTATGTCCGTGTGTGCGCAAATTGCACGTGACGCAGTGTTCAGGAGTTTGCATACAGGTAACACCACTTAAATAAAAAGATGTTAGTTGTGCTCCCGCAAGAAAATTCCTCCCTGGCGCAAAACGACGGGCAAACTAATAACAGCGCAAGCGAATTAACTACGTTGTACGACACGGTTGTACGACGCGTAGTCCCGCGCCACATACCTCGTCCTCTCCCGGGCTGGTCAGGAGGCACTTGACGGCCACGTCGGTGCCGTGCCATCTGGCCTGGAACACGTCACCGCTGCCGCCAGAGCCCAGGAAGCGGACGATGGTCAGCTCGGAGGGGCGCACGATCTATCAATGGGTCGATTTGGGTCGATTTGGGTCACCGCGGGAAAGGGAGGGAGAGAGAAGTGGGGGAGAAGCAAAGCACCTTAACATAGCAAAACAAAGCGAGAAATAGAGGGGGTCAACATTTTCTTTACTTTTTATTAAGCTCAAGTTGCTAGGTTTTGTTAATGTATGTTTTAAAAGAGAAATGGATCCCTGCAGTGATATTGTATGGGCTATCATGCCGACCGTTTGGACGTTGACCATCTCATACACACAACGAAAGCACAATTGTGGTGTCGTAGTGGTTATACATTTCCCTTTGGCAACCCTCGACATCGCCATACATCCACACATACATACATCCACACATACATCCATTCTTCCTCCCCGCACCTCCACTCGGCCGCTCAGCTGCTCCAGCGCCACACTCCGCGGCAATGAGGGCGCGCTGGCGGGCGCTGAGGTGTGCGAGCGTGAGCGAAATGGCAAATGGCCAGAGGTCATTACTAGAATTCAAGGTTGCCATTACTAAGACATATCTGCAACTTTAAAAAGTGGCGTGCTAACAAAATTAAGGCCCGAATTCTGGGAGGGACTCGGTCCTTCCTGAAACCCGAACTGGGTACGACTTTCTGTCTCCCCAGAATTGCCTCATGCGACGGAAAAGGGACCGAAAACGAGCCATGCGGTGAAAATTAGGTTGTGTTCGGACACAAGTAAATACTGGAAGGGTGTTGGAGCATCAGGAGACCCCCTTTTGCATGTGGGTGAATCCTGGGGGGATTATGCATGAATTGTTTATTATTATGGTCCAAGAGTGTTATTAGGTGCCGAGGTCGCGCGTGGCGCAAATCCTCAGCCTGACAAAAATTTAGCCCTGCCGGACACCCGAAGGGCCGACTACGAAAGGCTCTCGCAAAGTGCAAGGCGAAGACCGTTCATACAACCGAGGCCAATTTGACCACCTCGAGAAGCGGGCCAGGTAAGTATGCTTGACATGTGGAAATTGCGCAGTCAGACCATAAAGTTTATCACAAACTGCGCACAGTCATCTGATGGTGGGTCAGGTTAGCACTAGGCAGAATTGCTGGGCATAAACTTCTGAAGAACGTTTTCAAAATAGCTGCATGCTTAATTGTAAGGCACGCAATCGAAGCAGTCAGAGCGGCCGCGCGCATTCATCGGATTTTCGGATTGAGACTCCGCTCTCGTGCAACGAACATTAACCGTTATCGGCATTCCCGGCAACGATTCAGAATCTTACGCCTCGACCCGTAATGTTACTCGCTGAGTTGTATCATCCATGCCTACAGTAATCACAACGGCCTGACTTTCGCCCTTACTTTGCCGCTCCACGCCATGAGACAGTCAAACCATAGAAATCAAGCGAATGTGATAGCGATTAGCCTAACTGAAAAGTTTAATGGTAAGCTTAAGTACTTTTGCGCGATGCACGACGGACAGTCCAGAGAAGTATGCTTCCCCAGGGCAGACCCCAGGGTCCAGAAGATGGAGCTCGGATGCGAGGCCCGGGCTCTGGAAAGCCAAAGCGGATTCTAATCCACATCCTTCCTCTCTTCTCAAACGTCAAAGATTGTCCATTTCTTGTCGATAAGATTTTCCCTTCCCCTCCGTCCCTTTCCCATCCCACCTATTCTCACGCAGCCAATCCCATAACCCGCGCGCAGTTGATCCCATACTACTACCCGTATCCCAGTTCTTACCCAACAACATCTTTAGCCTTCACAATATCCTCTCCCTCAAATTTCACAACTTCCTCAAATTCCTCAAATTCCTCAATCCTTCACCATGTCCTCGGATGCCGCACCTGTAAGGTCCACAGTAATGGCACTGGACCCGGAGACCCAACCAGTGGCGCTGCCTCCTCCTTCTCCTCCGGGACCACGAGCGCCGCCTCCAGCTCCGGCTCCCGCTCCGAATCCACTGCCACTACCGCGCCCTCCCACAGGCTCGACAGATTCCCTGCGAGCGGCCGCCACAGTAGTTGTAGGTTGCAGCCACCACCTTCCACTTTCTTCTGTTTCATAAGGTTATCATCCTTACCTGCCGCAACGTGCTGAGAACTCGTGCCCGTGTTTATGTTTGTGTGTAAATTTGCGTATCCGTTATATGGGAGTGTGTGGCGAGGTATATATAGCTTCACCCTCGGTGTTGCCACCCGCGGGCCTAGCTAGCCTTCCGCTGGCAGTCCCCCTACCACCTTCCCCTCATCCTCCCGGTGTTTCCCCCGGGAGGGGGGTACCACCCCCCTCCTCACCACCGTCATCAACATCATCCATATGTGTGCCGATTTCCGTAAAGTCGTCATTTGCACAAACACCCTTACTTATGTGCGTATGTGTGTTTGTGTGTGCCTCCTAGACTGCCAGTTAGGACTGTGCTCTCCCCCCCTTACCCAGCCCCCCTAGCTAGGCCTGTCCCGCCAAACAGGAGCCACACAGCACTTGGGGACCCTCCCCAACGACCTCTGCACCCTTCTTGCCCTCTGCCTCACCCCACCCGTAAGGCCCTTCTCCTTGTGTCCTCCTCTCCTAGTGGCAGATCCCCTTCCGTTTCCCCCCCTCCCCCCCTCAACCCTTCCAGCGCAAAGTAAAAGGTGGCGCCCCCTCTCCCCTCAGGACCGCACCCCTCACCCCTCACCGCCTTCCCCCTCCCATCCCCCCATCAGTGTGCCGCAATCAACGGCCTGAATGGTCTCACGAGCTGTCACTCTGCTGCTGCTGCTGCTGCTGCTGCTGCTGCTGCTGCTGCTGCTGGGGTAACGGAGCCCGCGCCCCCGTCACACCCCTTGTCGCAGCATGATGATGTGCGGGTGCTGCTGCGCCCCCTGGCCCTCCTGGTGCAGGTGCAGGTGCCGCCGCACTGGAAGCGGACGGCGTTGCGGCGGCAGACAGAGAAGGAGGAGTCCCGCCGCCGCCGTCGCCGCCGCCGCTGCCACTGCCGCCAGCAGCGGATGCCGAGCCGCCGCCGCCGCCGCCACCGCCGCCGCCATACATCGTACCCGCCGGGGATTCCAGATCCGACATGGCGGTGTGTACGGAAGCGCCGCTGCCTTCGTCAGACGGCAGTGTGTGGTGGTCGACGTAAAGGTGCAACTTGTACGACGGCTTGCCGGCAACCTGACGTATCGTACACCCATGTACAAGGTGGAAAGCGGCTATTATGGTTCATAAAGTTGGGCTCCTGGGTTCACCCCTCTCGCCCTATTGGCGCTGTCGCATTCTCAAACAAACAGAGGTATAATGTTCGGGAGAGTTATAACCGTTGATAACCGCTAACAACTATTAACTACCGCTAATAGCCAATAAACACCATTAATCGCCACTTCTCGCTTCCTATTACCACATAGCGCTCACAGGTGGTGGATGTAGGGGCAGGGGCGCAGGGGGAGGCATGGAGGAGGAGTGGGACGACAATCATCACACATCCCGCATCACACATTCGCCAAAATCCAACTTCCCCCTTCGTAAACCCTCTCTTAGGACACTCTCAAAAACACACCCCAGTTTACATGTCATGCCATGATCCCGACCCACCCCCACCCACCGACTGGACCCAGACAGTCCCCGCTCTTTATTGTATACTGTTCCACGAGTGGAACAGTACACAATAAAGAGGAAGGCTGTCTGATATCTCCTGCTCCCTCGCCTCCTCTTCCTGCTCCACACCCAACCCCAACTCTCTCCCAACCTCTCCCCCTACACCCGACCTCCTCGCCCCCGCTCCCAAACACATACATACATACGTACATACATACAAGGGTTTGGCACTATTGGTAACGCGCGACCATTGCTCCCGGGAGATCCGGGATCGAGACCTGTCAGGGTCGGAAGTCTTTCCGATGGTGGAAGGTAAGAGTGCCCCTAGTCGATGGACGGTGGTGACCTGGGATAAAGTAGACCTGCGAGCTGACCAGGAATGAAGATGAGCCGCTGTCGACCCGGCAGATTCCGTTGGATGCTGGTGGTGGGTGCGGAACCTAAGCGATCCACTAAGAAGTTGACTAGGGTGACTGGATGAGGGTGCCCCGAAATACCGGGGAAGGCAGGATTTCGCAGGGTAGCTGCCATGGGCGAAGATATACCCCCCTTTCCACACATCATACATACATACATACATACATACACACTCGCACACCTGTGTGAACTCGTGCAGCTCCTCCCACATGTTGATCACGTCCATATCCGTACGCAGGTCCACGAGGGTGCCGGGGCAGCTGGGCAGCTCGTAACGCAGGGAGGCCTGGTGGAGGTGCGGTAGGGGGAGGAGGTGGAGGTGCGGTAGAGGGAGGAGGTGGAGGGGGGGGAGGAGGGGGAGGTGCGGTAGGGGGGGAAACAAAAAAAGAGGCGAGGTCAAGGGCGGGGAGCTGGAAGCGGCAGAGTTGCGGGTGCGGGAAAAGGAGAGGGCGCGGGTACGTCCATTAGCGCAGGAGGACAGGTTTCCTCCTCTTGGGAGGGGGGAGGGGGAAGGGGAAAGGAAGGGATGTTTCTTCACAGCGCCACCCCGCAGCCACCTCTTCACAGCCCACCCCACCCCACCCCGTCACCCACCTCGTCGGGACCCCTCACTCGCCCCTTGCAGCCCGCGAAGGCGCTGTCCCTGAGCGCAGCAGCAGCAGCACACCACACCACACCACACCATGCGGTAGGGGAGGTGTCGAGGTGGGAATGGGCGGAATGGGAGGAATCAGGTGTCGCAAGCGAAGTGGGAAGGGGGGAGGGAGGCTGGGGGAAGACAGCGACATACATATGTATGTATGTATGTATGTCGCTGACATACATACATACATACATACATACATACATACATACATACATACATACATACATTCCTTCGTATGACATTGATGCGAGCCCGGTTGGTAGGTATGCAGAAATAGGTAGGTAGGTAGGTATTGTTTTCCATTGTTATCAACCAACGCCACTCTCTCAACGAAGTGTGCAACACCACCACCACACACCCGTTCCTGCCCTTGTTCCCCCATCTCTCATTTCTCCCTCCCATCCGGACAACGTTTGTCCGGATGTTTGTCCGGATGTTTGTCCGGATGTACCACCTGAAGGCGATGTAGTTGTGGCTCTCCTCCACCGCCACCAGCCGGGTCTCCCCCCCTGAGTAGTCCCAGTGGCCTGAGCAGGACAGACAGACAGACAGACGTATGGACGGACCTATGGACGAACATAACAGTCATTTAGACAAGAGAGCATGCATGAATGGAGGGGAAATACTGCTGCACATGTCTTACACGAACACATGTCAACCGCCGACGCGGTCCTGGGTAAAATGTGGTGTCGGAATCCCCCTCCTTACCGCCTCACCACCACCCACCTCGCCGACATTTCCCACCTCCCTCCTCCCCTCCTTTCCCCCATCCTCCCTTTACGATTGCTATTAGGACTACTAACACTTATACTGCTAGAACTCCTAGGGTTACTGCCCCCACCCCACCCCACCCCACACACACACTGCCGCTCACCAGTGCTCCTACAGGAGCTGAATGTGCCCCCGAACGACAACAATACCTTGATCTGGGGTTCATCAGGGGGCGGAGGCAGGGCGGAGGGAGGGCGGAGAGGGTTGTGTAAGGTGGGGAGAGGCGGCATATAGGGGGAAGTGGAATAAGCCCCCCTGGCGTTCTCTCTCCCTCACCTTGCGCGGGTAGGGAGCTGGGATGAAGGCTGTGCCGCCACCGCCACCGCCGCCAGCTGCGGTAGTGTTGGTGGCGGTGGGGAAGGCGGGCATCATGAAGCCTCTGTTGCAGCTGGTGATTGGTGAGACAGAGCCCGGTGGCAGCATCAAAACATCCCTACCGCCGCCGCCGCCGCCAGCGACAGCACTGGTGGTGCTGCTAGTGCTGCCAAAACCGGGCGGCAGATGCAGTGTAGATCCTCCCAAGCCGGGGGAAGCGGCGAGTGACGAGGGCAGCGCCGCCGCCGCCGGCGAGACAGCCGCCGCCGGCCGAGCCACAGGCGCAAGTGCGCCCGGTACCTCAGTGGCGGCAGCACCACCGGCGGCGGTGGCGGTGGCGGCAGCGACGGCGGCGGCGAGGCTGCCGAACCCGAACGGCGATGGCGGCGTAGCGGCGTGGGATGACGGCGCGGGTGAAGCTGTAGCAGCTGTAGCAGCGGCGAGGGATTGATTATATTGCGTTAAGATTTGCTGTAGCTGCATTTGCGCCTGCGCTGCCGCCACCTGCTGCTGCTGTTGTTGTTGTTGTTGTTGTGACGGCAGCGGCGGCAGCGACGGCGTCGGCGGGTGCTGGAGGGTGACGGAGGCGAGGGATTTGGTCAACGACGGGACCTGCAAAGCCGCCGGCGGCAACAACGCACAAGCATGGGCTGTTGAGAGCCTCGGCCTCATATATACATAATGTCTACTACTCTTAAGTTGGCGAAAAACACGTTGAATCCCCGCGTAGACAAGTTACGACGACATGCCCGAATCGTACGGCCATGGAGCTGCTGTACGACCTCTCACCTCGCTGCCAGCTGCACTAATGCGACCTGCCGGAGGCGGTGGCGCTCCCGGGACCCCTCCGGCGCCCGCGGCCAACGCCGCCGCCATTAGCGCTGTTGCCGTACCCGCCGTACTTGGATTGCGGCCCTCGCCGCCGCCACCGCCGCCGCTGCCACCTATGATGCTACTGCCAGTAGCGCCAGTCGTGGACGGCGTGGGAGCGGGGGACTTGAGGATGATGCGCGGCGGCAGTGACGGCGGCGACGGCGGCAGTGCTGGCGGCGGCGACTGTGACTGCCCCGGCTGCACCCGCGGCGGCGGCGCCGCCGCCGCGACGGCACTCAGCATCTGATGCTGCTGGTCCAAGGCATAGGGGTGCCACTGCTGCTGCTGCTGTTGTTGAGAGGCAGCAGCAGCAGCAGCTTTGAGCTGTTGCGCCGCCAGCAGCTGCTGCCACTGCGCGAATGCCGCAGATTGCGCCGCCTGCTGCTGCTGCTGCTGCTGCTGCGCCTGGGCTGCCTGCTGGAACGCGAGGGCAGCAGCCGTCGGCGGTACGACAATGGGCGTGGCGGAAGCGGCGGACAGCGGCATAGCAATGATGGGTTTTACGGCTCCTGGCGGCGCCGGTACCGCCGCGAATAGCCCGCTGGCGGGCGTGACCAGCGAAGTACGGCCAGGGACAAGGACTCCGCCACGGGCCGGAACCGCCGCCGCTGACGACGCCGACGCCGCTGGCGACGCCAGCTGGGTCGCCGTCAGGTCTTGCCGACGCCCCATTGCTGCCGCCAGCAGCGTCCCGGCGCCGCCGCCGCCAGCGGTAAAGCCTCCTGACGCAACGGGAGGAGTATTGAAGGGGGAAAGAGCAGTAGCGGCAGCGGGGCTAAAGCCCGGTAGCTGCAGCAAGGGCTGCTGGAGAAAGCCGCCGTCGACGGCCGCTGGCAGCGGCGGCGACGCCAAGCCTGACGCGCCCAGCGCCATCACAGGCGTAGCGGGCGTTGTGTGGAGACAATGCTGCACTGCATGGATTGGGGCTGTAGCGGGGGCAGCGGGATCCGCTGCTCCTTGTGCAGCTGTCACTGCAGGTGCTACTGCTGTTGCGGCGCCGGCGGCGGCGGTGAGGTATGGCGCAGCAGTAGCAGGAGCTGCAGCAGCTGTGGTGGTAGGTGCTGCTGTGCCCAGGGGAATGGAAACCAGGCCTGCCGCAGGGCTGACGGCGGCCATAGCTGGCGCAAATGTGGGCGCGGCTGTAGCAGAAATCGTAGTGACGCCTAGCGGCGGCAGAGCCGCCGCCGCCGCCGCCGTCGGCATCGCCAGCACGGCATGGGGCGTGGGACTGGTCACGCCGACCGATGACGCAGTGGTAGTGACGGGTACGGCAGCGACGGCGGTGGCAGGAACTGCAATGGCTGTAGTGCACGAGTACATTTCTGCAGCCGATGGCGCCGACGATGCCAGCGCTGCTGCAGGCAGGTCTGTAGCGGCTGTAGCTGCCAAAACTGGTGTAGGAGCCGCCGCTGCCAGCCCGATGGCCGGCGCCATGACTCTCGCGGCAGCGCCGGCGCCGCCGCCGCCGCCACCGCTGCCGGGACTGCTGCTGGCTTGCACCTGACCTTGAGGGGGCTGCACCTGCGGTTGTTGCGGCGGCAGTGGCGGCGCCGCCGTCGGTGGCTGTGGCTGTTGCGTGTCGGTGGCTGACGGCCCTGGGGATCCCGCCGACGAAGGCGGCGGCGGCGGCGCCGCCGCCGCAGGTGGCTGTGGCTGCTGCGGCGGCACGGCCGCTGTTAGCGCCGCCATCACACTCCCGTCCACTGTGAGCCGCATCTCCCCGTGAATCTGACCCACCACTGGCCCCATGATGACGCCGTGGCCCGGCAGACTAGACAGCGGCTGCTGCTGCTGCTGCCGTTGCTGCGGTTCCTGGGGTAACGACGGCTGCATGAACGACGGCGGCAGCGCGGGGGCACCTGCGGGGGCACCCTGATGTCCCGATGTGGACTGTCCCGATGTCGGCTGCTGCTGCTGCTGCTGCTGCTGGTACTGGTGCTGGTGCTGGTGCTGCTGGTACTGCTGGACGTGGTGGTGTTGCTGCTGCTGCTGCCGCTGCTGGCCCCAGGTCTGCGCTGTAGAAGCGAGCGGCGTCTGCGGCCTCACCAGGGGGGGGGAACCACCCACCGGGTGGTGGAGTGGTGGGGGGACGGGGACCGCAGCGGCAGCGGCAGCGGCAACAGGAGGAGTGGGGTTCGCGGGTGTTGGTGCCGGCGCCGTCAGCAAGACTTCCAGAGCCTGCCGTGCGCCAGCGAGCCGTACTGCAGCAGCAGCGTTACGAGCAGCATCGTCAGTGGGGGTGGGGTCCCCGACGTCGGCCGATGACGTCAGGACTGGGTTGTACGAGGGGAGCTGTGGCGGCGCTGCCGCCGCCGCTGCCACCGGCGGCGGCGCCGGCAGCCTCGCCGGCAGCACTGGCGAGTGGCGGGAGGACGACAGCGTCAGTGAGTGGGAGGGTGGCGTGCCGGGGCCCTCAGTCGCGCCGGAGGGGGCGGCGTCTACCAATGCTGCTGCGGTGGCGGCAGCAGCGGCGACCGCTTGTACGGCAGCGTCGGCCAAATTTCCAGGCAGCTGTGAGACGCTAATGCCCGTCTGAAACCAGCAACAGGGAACAGGTGCGGGAAAGGGAAAGAGGGAAACGTGACCCCGATGGGGTTCGGGGAAATTTGCGGCGCTAGGGTGGATTAACCGAGTATGCGGACAGCATGAGATTTCTATTCTGTAAATTTGACGTTGATTTTTCCTTAACAGAGACGGAAAGCGGCGAAAAGCGAAGAATATTTCACCGCGCACGCAAGCAATCAAAAAGGACCCAAGTCTCATAAAAAGACGACGGTAGCTTCTTCTTTCCAGCAGATCTGCCTGCCCTTATCCTACCGACCAGTTACTCGTCGCGGGCTCTTCTTGAGTTGCGGAAACCAGCCGCAGATCATCTTGAGTGCTGAGCGGGCTGCTGCTCATCAACGCCGCGGTTGTTTGTGCCACGTCCTGAATCGGTACCGGGGAAAGCTTTTTCCGGTCCTGATGTTGATGCATCAACTCACTTGAAAAGTCATTTAAAGGAGAGATGCCCGCTGGCGGCAGGGCCATAGCCAGCTCCTGCACCCGCGAAAGTAAAGGCGGGGCTGAGGCAGTCGCTACTTGACTGAAGTCGCTGGAAAGAGTCTCGGTGTTGCTGTGCTTCAGCTGTTGTTCTCCTTGAGATTGTTGTAGTTCTGGTCGTTGTTCAGACATTTCTATATACTGATCAAAGGAAAGGATTACGTGTGCTCCTCAAAGATTCCGGGATTTGCTTGTGAGCCAGAGTTGCCGAGGAAAAAAAAACGAAAAGGGATCACACGCTAGCAGCAATTTCGGCCGGGCCCTAAGCTGTTTCTGCTTCTGCGTCTGGTACTCTGCGGCGCTGTGCTGGAACGCGATGATAGCCCCGCAAGCGTTCTTTCGGATCCTCATGTTCAGGAAGCTCTGGAGCCCTTTGCTTTGGCAGGAATCTGGTTGACCACAGGTGCACGAGTCAAAGGCGGCTTTGTCATATATGGCATGCTATTCCTTTTTTGTTGTTGTTCCTGATGCGCGTCCAAAGCGGCCGTGCACGTCACCGGACCCATGGCTGGTCGTCGCATTGCCACACCGACCCACGGTTCCAAATAAAATAAAACATTATTCCTCAACTTATACCTCTGATAATGAGCGCCTAATTTATACCGATGAGGAAAAATACTTATCGCAATTTTATCCTGATGACTAGCACGCATACTGTGCCCCTTACATTAGCGGCCTCCGGAGCTGCCGTACCAGCCGTGTTCGGCCACACCACCCCCACCCCCACCACCCCCACCCCCACCCCCACCCCCACCCCCACCAAGCTTCGCAAGCAGGTTGGGCGATGTTGATACCTTGGCTTCCACCCGCCTGGGCAATTTCTTCGCGCGGCCCGACAGGCACTTGAGGGAAGTATGCCACCGAGGGGCGCCAGCCGGTACATGCCCTCGCAGCCGCAGTGCTGCTGGCCGCCGTACCGCCCAGCAAGGGCCGCGGCCCACCCACCCACCCTCCCACCCTCCCAGCCACCCTCACACCCTCCCACCCTCCCAGCCAGCCAGCCAGCCAGCCAGCCAGCCAGCCAGCCAGCCAGCTAGCCAGCCAGCTAGCAGTGAACATTCCGCCACACCGCATTTCACCGCGGCCCAACCCCTCCCCCAGGAGCTCGTCGCACAAGATCTGAAGGTCAGCTGGACGATTACATGGATCGCATCCAAGGCCTTCACCTGCTTGTATTCCCCCACCCCACCCCTAGGCGCCTTCTTTTTGCGTCAGCGAAGAACCCCTCATCGATCCCTGTCCAGGACAGACAGGACAGACATACCGGAGCGATATAAGGTCTTGTACCGCCTCGTCTCGACGGATTGAGGTCGACGTCTCTTCCCTCTACCAGACCCTTTACCCCCCCCCTCTCCGGTGTTTACCTGAGAGCACCTCAGAGCTCAGAGCCCCATCACGGGCAGGTGTAGGAGGAGTAGGTAGGCTAGCAACAGGGCACCATAAGGCCCGGGCGACCCCCCGTCCCCACACACCGCAGTAGCAGAGTCTGGACTTAGCGAGCGATGTCAACAGTTACGGCTATCAGGCCAGGTAGTACCTGCCAAAGATAGCGCTCGCTATCTGGGCTTGGTATATGGGCCAGAACGGCCTTTTAATGCGTGCCGTCAGCAGTTGTGTGATACAGGTCGGTCAGCTATGTTTTCCTAAAGCGCAAAGCTGGAAAAAAGGAAGCTGTTTGCCCCTGACGTGCGAATGCGGTGCTTTGCAACCCAAGTCCGAGCAATTCTGTTGTATGGCTGCCAGGCGTGGGGCCCTTTTGCGCTGGCAGAGGTCGTGGACAGGGCGGGAAGGCGGCGGGAGAAAGCCAACCTTGCGGAGGGCATGTTCGAAGCCTGTTTGAAGGACAGCGCAGTCCAGCTGCAGATTTTTTTCATGAGGCAGGTAGTCACGGCCATCCCATAGGCTGTTGTATGCGGAGCTGGCTGAACTCGCCTTACAATATTACATGGTGAAACAGATCCTCCGTTTCTGGAACCGCCTTCAAAGCAAGTGGGGTCCATTGCTCATGCAGTTTTACGGCAGGAGATAACCGATGCCCTGACCAACCCGGAATGGGAGGGTTGGGGAACCTCAATGTTACGACTGTTTTCCTTCTTGGAGTGCAACATTTGGAGCGGAATACCGCAAGAAGTCGTGGGGGTAAAGGAGCGTGTTGACTGGTTGTTGAGTAGGCCTCTACCAGAAGGAGCGATGATAACGGCACTAAGAGAGCGTTTGATGAGCGGCTGGGACCATACGCGTCTGACTGTCTTGCCAGAGGAGTACCCATCAGATGGGAAGCAACCGGGCAAGCAAATAGCGAAGTATAAGCACTGGATGGGGCTCTGGCCTTTTCGGGAGCCGCAGCCGTCATGTGGCCAACACATGCTGAGGTTTTCATTCCTCGTTTAGCACATCCAAGGCTAATGCAGTTTCGTTTATGTTGCTGGGCTTTAGAGGCAAACAGAGCACGAAGGGGCAAGTACCATGTCCCCAGGGGGCCGCTGTTGTACTATGTGATGAAAAACACGTGTTATTGGAATGCCCAGCCTATAATGATATTCGTGCTGAGGAGGGATTCGATCATCAACAGAGCATGTTGGAGGCCATTAAATGGGAACCAATACGTCTGGCGAGGATGTTGGAACGTATGTGGACTCACCTAAACTCAGTTATCCCCTTTGGACGCTAGTCTGGGCTGACGTGCGGTATTTCCTTTTCTCCGTGGCTTTTAGGCGTTGTTGTATTGCCCTTGGGCCTTCGGCTCGTATGGATAGTTTTACAGGTATGGGGTCACGCACCCCCAAACCATGTAACACACACACACAGTAGCAAGAGTCTGTTTATGGCGCACCTCAGTAGCAGTCTGATCGTCGTCCGCACACATCTCCTAGGTCGGCCCTGGCCCGTCCCAGAGCATTTCCAACCAACTACACCGCCTTGCCGCATTCCAACAAACACCGTCGACATTCACTTTTGCGTAGGAGCTTATTTGTAAAGCGCGGAGCAGCAGCAGCAGCAGCAGCAGCGGCAGCTGACCTTTTTCGTTACGTGGTAGAAGGGAGAGCTAGGACGTGTGTTCATGAGGTTGCGGCAACAACAGAATTCGAATCCCGATATGCATCCCTGCACACCGTCGCGGAGTAAAGGAGATTTTCCAATGAACATAGCACCCGATTCTTTTGGCTGTGTTTACAAGGTATGTGGTGGCACAGATAAACAGGCACAAATAAACGCCTGGAGGACCTTAAAACTCAGTCAAGAGATCTCGACTATTCGCGCGTCCAGGATACAATTGAGATGTCGTCAAGTGATGTCATCGCAGTCATTGGCTACACTTTCCAATCCCAAATGCCCCAGACAGAGGCGGATTTTATAATTTACTGGGGGGGTTTGTAAGGCTTCTAATCCATCTTGTCCTACCACCTCTATGTCTAGTATGTGTGGTAACATGCCAAAGCATAGCCCCACTGTACTCATACATACGTACATACGAACACAGACAGACAGACCGGCAGATATCCGTACGTCCAGGAGGAAGGATGATCTTTCCGCTGTGCACGAGGCCTCATAAACGTTGTTTACGGCTCCGCCTTAGGTGCTCATCATAGTCCGCTTGACCGCTGACACCCTTCCCCAAGTTATGGGGCTCCCTCCCTCCCTCCCATAATGGTTTACACAGCTGCTCGCTGCATCACATGCCGCGCCCTCCTCCTCCTCCTCCTCCTCCTCCTCTCCCAACCTTCATCCCGCCCCCTTCCAGCCATTAGCATTTCAAGACCAAATTATTCTCCACCTCTGCGACCACCACCACCACTCCCGCGCTGAGCCTTGCGGCGCTTTTACACAAAATGAAGCAAACATCACTGTCCCCATTTCCCTGAGATGATGTAGCACATCGTCCGCTACAAGAGGCCCTTCCTTGGAAGGGCATGCACACACGGGCATGCAAATACACGCCTCTTCCCCCCACCCTCTTTCCTCCCCCAGCACCTCCAAGAGGCCGGCACCCCCCGTGGGGGCATCCGTAAAATATTTCCGCGACAGCTTTACCCCCGTTGTTCGTCCTCCTCCTCCTCCCGCTCCTCCTCGGCCCCATCCCCGGCTTTCTCCCGGGCTTATAACTGCTACAGTTTGCAGAACTGACAGCTCAATTACTGCTGCTGCTTCAATGTCACTATCACTGTCCTTCTCCTCCGCCGCCTCCATGTGCTCGTCTGCCTCCTCCTCCTCCTGCTCCTCGTTGCTGTCCTCCACTCCCGTCCTCACCGGCGACCCCCCCGACCGGCGCCGCCAGGACGGCCGCCACCCGCCGCCGGCTCCTCATCGTCCGAGTCACCCGGGTCGCCGTACATGAACATGCCGCGATGCGCCTGCCGGGCCTCATCCTCGTACTCCTGCATCGCCTGAGTACCGATGTGCGTTTGTGTGTGCGTGTGTATGTTAAAGGGGAGAGAAAGTTAGACGGGTAACGAGAAGAAAAGAAGGACAAGGAAGAAATGGGCATGTGGAGATTAGCTAGCAAGGCACACACGGATACCCCTAAGCGCGCAGAGAAGGGCACACACACAGGACACAAGAAACAAAGTCTAACTTGCAGCTCTACTGCCGCGCAACCGCCCCAACCACCTCCCATGCCGGCTCGTCCTCTTCCGCTCCTCCCCACGCCCCTCCAGGCTCCCTTAAACAACCCTCCAACCTCTACTGCAATCCCCCAACCCCACCCCACCCCACCCACCTGAATGGCCTCTCGCGCAGCGGCGTCCTTCACCTTCCGCAGCTTGGGCAGACGAGCCATACCCGCTGTGGGAGTCCACAAACGTTTTTTTGGGTGGGTGGGTGGGTGTTTGGGGGGGGGGGAAAGGGCAGAAGAAGGGCGGGAGGAAAGCGGGTTAGGTGAGAAAAATAGGGATGGTTGAGGGATACGGGTGGTTTAGTTTTGATCTCCCAGAACAAGCGCACACACACACGCATACTGTCGCAGCCGTACATACGTACATACATACATTCGTACCCACCCACCCATGCCCGCTACCGGATCCGCCTGTTCACTAACACCCTTCTGGTACTGGCGCTGGTACCAGGCGAGAGGGCCCCTTCTCCCTTTTCACGCACCCAGCAGCATCTCCACGGCCATGTTCGTGTTTGTCTCCGGCTCAACGAGTACGGCAGTGATCTTGCCGTTGCGCTGCTTGGGGTGCTTGGCCTTGGAGTCCGCTCGTTCCCGCGATACCTGGGCCATGGTGTCACAGGGTGGGGCGGGAGGTAGTGGGTGTAGTGGTAGAGGAATAGCCTGGCAATCGTCTTGCCTGTTTGCTTGTTTGTTGTTTCTATGTATGTATGTTTGTCAGACCTGAAAGACAGCAGCACATATGAAAGCTGGGGGAAAGGAGACAAAGAACGGTGACGGTTGACCGTTACAACTCCCCGGCCCATATACAAAACCTAAACTGTGTCGTGTTTCACCCCCCGGCCCCTCCCTAACCCATCTTTTTACCCCCGGCCCCGCCATCTTTGCCCGCTTTCACCCTCCCGCTCTCCCTCCCAACCAGGACCCACCACATGCGCCAGGAAGGGCCTCCCTCCCCCCAGCAGCGAGGACAAGCACGCCCGCGCATCCGCCGCCCAGTCACTGCCCTGCTCCGGAACCTTGATGTAGGCAAGGCAGCACGGAATGGCTTGGGGAGGTACGGCAGACATCGCCGCGTCGATGGTACGGACCTGCGTGCGGTGGCGCGCGGGGGGGAAAGGAGGGGTAAAGCCGGGTTTGAGGAGGAACATGTATGTCCAAGAAGTGCACATCAACAAGCAAAAGCCCAACCCACGAAAACGACCATCTCCCCCCACACACACGACAATTCCCCCAAATGCATCACCAGTCGCTGTACGAGTCCGTTAAAGCCACGTAACGCAATCGGGGGGGATGGGGAGGAAAGGGGAGGGGAAGAAGAACCACGGACGATTGAATCGGATACCAGAGGTACACGGCTACTCCGGAAAACTCCAGGAATAGAATAAATCCAGGAATAGACAGGTACTGCAGAAAACTGTAAGGCATTACTGACCAGTAGGGTAGTGACTTGGGAGGAGACAAAAGGGGAATGCAGCAGAGAATGTAATGCGGGGCAACGTGGGTGAGAACATGGGAGAAAAAACCCTCCATGGCGGAACCCAGATCGCATCCACCCAATTCTTTTGTTTGACATCACATCGTGGAGCAAAGGACTCATCACCATCCGCAGCCCACTTGCCTTGCTACTGGCGACGCGCTCGCGGTTGCCGTAGTCGATGAAAAACACGTCGTACATGGGTTCGGAGCGGTTGACACGCTCCACGTAGCCCCGGTACCAGCACTGGTCCAGAGAAAACTGTACGACATACGAATGGCACACATACATACGCACATGGCGCGGCCGAGAGTTTGGACGGACACACATACATCCGTACACACATCCGTACAGCTCCCACATCCTCACCTCGGATCTTTCTCCCTCCCTTCATGAACAGAACCTCACACGGCACACAGCCGCAACCCGGAATCCCCCCCATACACCTCCCCCCCCCCCCCCACCCCCCCACCCACCTGAGCCAGGCACAGCTGTCCGGTCTTCAGTTCCGGGGGAATGGGCGGCGAGTCGTTGAGGGAGGCGGCTGACAGCTGCTCAGCCAGCCAGGCAACACGAGGCTCACCCGCCACCTGCGGGAGAATGGGGGAAGGAGGAGGAGGGGGGAAGGGGGGGAGACTGTTAGGGGAATGGAGGGGAAATTGAGGGGAAAAGGGAGAGGTAACCACATACACAAGGGGAAGCAAAGGGCCCAGAAGCGAAGGAAAGGGGTGGGGGGGTGGGGGTGGGGGTGGGGGTGGGGGGGTATATGGTCACTGGGGGAACGGAGAGTGAAGTTGGCATTGTGTGGGATACGCGCTGGAAAGGTTCCTGATGCCCCCCATGCCGCAAATGGGGGGGGGACGAACCACGAGCGAGTGAAGGGGATGCCAGGGAAAGAGTGATGCAAATGGTTGCAATGGGAGGGGGAGGTGCCGAAAATGGAGGGGGAAAGTGGAGGGGGAAAATGGAAAGTGCCCCCCCCCATATAGGGGGGAGAAGTGCCGAAATGGTGCCCTGCAGCGCCTGGCCCTCTCCCACCCAACAAACATACACGCACCCAACAAACATACACGCAGCACCGCATATGTAGATGTGATGTGACGTGGCCGGAAAAGGCCGACTATCTTCTTGGCCCACCAGCCTCTACTGCCTCTCAACACATAACCGCCTTCGTGTTAGGAGGAGGAGGAGAAACAGAAGAAACAGGAAAAGACGACAAAGATGAAACAGAAGAAGAGAAAGGGAAAGCCACGCACCTGTACGAAGAACTCCGTGGCATCCACCACCTCCGTCACCGTCACGGAAAGGACCTCCTGGGCACGGCCGCCGGTACGGAGACCCGCCGCCGGGGCCGCCGCCGCTGCTGACGTCGATGTGCCGCCGCCGGCGGCCGCTGCCGCCGCAAAGCTGCCGGTGGCGGCGGCGGTAGAGGCGCCATGGCCGTTGCTGGCGCCGGCGCCGTTAGCGGCGGTTGGGGTAGCTCCAGTGTCGTACCCTTCCTCGTCGCCGTACACCCCCTCCTCTCGATCCATCTCTGGAGTCCAGTTCTCCCAAATCTGATATAGTGAAAAGCATTGTTCCGACCAGGTGAGAAGAACGGCCATGGAAAGAGAAGAAACGTTCCCCCAAGGGCTGAAGAAAGAAACAGTTTTAAGCACCGCTGAAGACATACATACCGACATCTCTCTCTGACACATATACATATCCGTTTTGTGTTTGCTCTTTGTCTGTATGTCACCACCTAAACAGCAAATACAAAACGAAAACAGTCTTAAATCAAAAGAAGCCGCACCTTGAGGCGCTGCTCTTTAGCCGCCTGCTGCAGCCGTACCATCTCCCCACCGTCGGGAAGTCGGGAGGGGTCCACATTCGGCTGGAGGCGGGCAAAACCTGGGGGGGAGGGGTGTGTATGTGTGTTGGGGGGGGGGTGAGGCCCGGGGGAGGAAAAGGGGTTTAGGGTTTGCGCAGCCGGGGGAGGGGAAGGATAAATAAGGTCTTAACATCAAAATCATGAAAGAAAAAGAACCTCCGAAAAGCCATCTCATGACCGCGTGAGAAATAATGGGGGTTCACCATGGGGCGAATCACCACACGAGGAAAAAGACAACGGGGCCCGGAGCGAATCATTAACACCTCCTCAAAGCCGACAAGGCCGGCCCGACTTAAGGATGATCCAACCAAAGCACACCGCCACCACCAAAAAACAACGGCCGTACAAGCCTAAGTAAAGGCGCTGCTGGCCACTCCGCCCATTTTTGTTTGTTGGGGGGGGGAGAAAGGGGGGGGGGAAACGAGGTGGAAAAGACAAAACAAAACCCCTCAACCCCCAACCACCATTCCGCTACCCTCAACCCCTCCCCCCCGCACACATACACGTCCCAGACACGTTATGTACCTTTGCTCAGGAGCGCCAGAGCCAAGTTAAACGGCCGAGCCGAGGCCGCTGCCCCACCCCCCTGCTGCTGCTGTTGCGGCACTAGCACCACACTCCCCAGAAAGGTGCCCCCGCGGTCCATGGTCTCCACCGTCACCTCCACGTCGCGCTGCATCATCACCTCCCGCGTGTAGCTGAAGGCCTCCTCCGCAAACGGCTCACCCTGTTACCCGCCGCCCAGGACGGTAGGGGGTGGGGGGTGGGAGCGGAACGGAACGGAAAGGATATACGTCTGTATGCATGTATGTGAAGAGCGTGTGTGTATGTGTGGGGCCCGGGTAGTGGTGGCCGTAGGTACGGGGACGACGATGCGGTAACACTGTACGACAGGCTGCAGGGGAGAAAGGAGGTTACACGTACGAGCATGTGTTACAACATTAAGCCCTTTCCCCCCCCAAAAAAAAAACACAAGTAGCCCCCCTTCTTCTGTAGCAGGGTTGGGGCCCGGGGTTTGGGGGGTTAGGGCGGCGGTAGGTGTATAATGCACAGGGCCGTACACTCCCGGGGGGGGGGAGGGAGGGCAGACCCACTACCACCACCCCCAGCCCGCTCACCCCCTTCGCTCTCTTCCCCCTCTCACCTGCACCGCGGGCTTTCCGTTAGCTGCCGGTTGGGGTCTGGAGGGCGTCTTGATGCCGCTGGGGGCGAACACGATGGTGACCCCCTCCTTGGGGATGTGCACTCGCAGCCGGTGGCCGCTCAGGACGTACTCCACGACACCAGTCATCTTGCCTGCCCGTATAAATGTACGGCAGCATGTACGGCAGTATATCGTTCAGAACCCACGCAGGAATGCCCAAACCCATGTCACCACCCACGAGACAAAAACAGACATACAGGCAAATAGACAGTGTAGCACGGGCGTTGGGCCCAGTTGCGGAAAACACGCAAGCCGTACTCGCCGTATCTATGTTACCGTATAAAATAGTCGATAACAGCAACCAGCAACATGTAATGAAACCCCGACCCTAAACCCTAAAACCCTTAACCCTTAACCCTTACCCCACCCCTTAACCTTAACCATCCACCTGCTCTCTGGAAGAAGGGCAGGTACTGTTTGGCTCGGGCCGCGGACCCCGGCGTGCTGACGTCATTCACCCTGTTGGCCGGCGGCTCCTTGGACGAGTGCACACCGCGCTTGGAGGACTTGGCCAGCTCCTCACATGCCACCAGCCTGGGTTGTTGGGTTGGTTGTTGCGTTATAGTTGTTGGGTTGGTTGGTTGGTTGGGACGGGGACGAGAGGGGGAAAACACAAGGACAACTTCCTGCACAAACCCCAAGACGTCCCGGCAAAAGGAGAGCTGTCACACAGTATGTCGATTTGTACATATGTATGTATGCAAACTACATAACATCCGCAACTTGCGCCATGCAATATCGTACACGTACCTCTCGTACACGCAGCTGCGCTCCTCATCCGTACGATGCTTGATGACGGTGGCGAAACCCCGCGCCACAGCCATCTCCGCCACGTTCTGCTTCTCCTCGCCCTGACATGTCACACATTGGGTTAGGTGTACGGAAGGGGGGAATTTCGGGACGAGATAGCGACAGACGTCAATACTGACGAACAGTCCATGGGATCACTAGGGCTGAGGACCGTGACCCAAGTGTTGTGGGTGGGTGGGTGGGTGGGTGGAAGGACACCCCCCGGGTGGATAACCCCTTTTAGAGCGGTGAACACTCGTACCGGGCCCCACCGTTACCGCCGTACTGCCACAACCGGTACGGTGTGGCACCAACACGTTGACGGAAACTCTACAAACATACGTACAGACACCACTCCGTGTGCCACTTCCTTCCCTTCCACACGCACACTCCCCCCTTCTCCCCTCCCTTCTTCTCCCCCCTCTCACCCACCCACCCCCATCATCACCTTCTCCGGGACTAACTCCACATTCCCGAACGCCATCAGCCGCTCCCCATCCCCCGCCAGCATCATCTCAGCTGAGTGGTGGTGGAGGTGGTGGTGGCGATAACGATATTGATAGGGGCCGAAGTGGGTGGGAGGCGAAACAGCAGCAGTGGCAGCAGTGAAGCCGCGACGGGGGACGGCAACCGGGAGAGAAAAAAGCCAAGGGGGAAAGGTGGGCAACGCTTGTATGAATGCCGGCATGTATGAATGTATGTATGTATGTATGTACATACGTCGCTGCTGGTGTGTATGCGTGCGTATGCTCACGCACATGCGCATATGCGTGAAACCTACATATTAATAGTTCATTACAGGCAAGGCATTACATGTATGCGTTTATTACGACATGCATACATACATACATACCCCCCCCCCTACTCACGGGTGAGAACCTTGCGTGTGTACTCCATCTTGACTTCCACGGGGCGGCCGATGATGCGCTTGCGGAGGAACTCCTTGGCCTCAGTGGCCCAGGCCTCCGCGGGGCGGTCGCGGGCGGGGGGCCGCGGGGCGCGGATGCTGCCGGGGGGGGGAGGAAGTGCGGGATTGGGTTGGAGGGGATTGGGTTGGGAGGAAAAAAGGGGGAAGATGGAGAGAGGGAAATGCGATAGCGTGGGAGGGGGATGGAAAGTATTGGGGTCGGTTTGGACGAACAAACATACAGAGAAACACAAGCAGTGATGCGGGAGAGAGAGTGGAGGGAGATTGGTGTGCGCGCGTAAACGTTTGGAGGAGGGAGAGAGAGAAAAAGAGAGAGATGCGCAGGGAACGGCTGTCAGACAGTACGAATACTGTGTACGACATCATTGCGTGGATCATATGGTTAAAATTGGATTATTTTTTGAACATCATTCAGCCGTTACATTCTCTCTTCACGCCTCCTCGCCTTTGTAGAAAAGGAATTTGAGATTAGATGACACACGATTTACAAACACCTTGAGGTTGGCCCCAGTCGGGTTAGACGGTGAAGAGCTGCTGCCAACTGCCCCCCTCCCTCCCCCGCCCTCCTTCCCCCCCTCTCCCCCGCCCTCCTTCCCCCCCTCTCCCCCCCCGTTCAATACACACCTACCTGGACAGATTCACTCGCCGTTCCGCTCCGTTAGTGGCGTCTTTGACGACCACACAGTCGCCACTAACTACCTCAACCACCTTTGGTGATCACGTGCGAAACAATGAGGTGTCCCCGGGGGTGGGTGGGGGACGTGTACGACTTGGTTTGCATGGTTTGCACGACACAGGTATTAACTGTTCAGGGAAGCGAATGGTGCAGTCAACACGTACAAACATACGTACATACGTACAATACAGACAGAGGGTTAGGGAGAAAGAGATCGGACTGCCAGATTGCTCACAACCCGTCTACAGCTTAATAATACAATACAAGCGTCCGGCAAAGCACAGCGATCCTCGCCGGCCTCTCACTTCACCTCCACCTCCACCCCCTCCCCCTCCCATTACATACACACACTTCTTTCCCCCCCACACACACACACTCACCTTCCCGGTGAAGTTATCCGACAGCTTGGTTTGGTTGGTTGGCGCGGGCACGTAGTTGGTCCAGATGGCCTTCCGCTCGGCCTTGGCGGCCTTCTCCACGTCACGAAGACGGAGAGCGGCGGAACTGGGCATAAGGCCCAACGACCACTCCACACACTGCGGGAGGACCACCACCAGGGTCCGGCGGGTGGGTGGGGGTTAGGTGGGGGTTAGGTGGGGGTTAGGTGGGGGTGGGAACGGGTAACGAAGGAACGCACGTTGGCGTGTTGTGTGTTGGGCGGGGAAGCAAGGGCATGTGCGTTTATGCTTTTTTATGAAGCGATGCACGGAACTACCGTACAGACAACAAGACAAGCAGTCCCGGTGTTTGCATGCAATGCACGCCTGCCGTACATGCTGGGGGCAGTCCAAAAGTTCATGCTCTTTGCTAAGAAAAACTGCACAATCGGTTGTAATATTAGTATCACTCGACTTAGGGTTAAGCTGTCGCATTCTGAAAGGAAAACAGATAATCCTTCCCATGGGGGGGAAAGACGAACCACACACGATTGAAGCTGCTGCCAGGGCAAGAGTGGGGGGGGGGAGGGACGTCGTGTGGAACGCAAAACATTTTATCCCCGGGGGCCCTAGGGGCCTCAGATCGACCCACAGATCTCGACCCCTGAATTGCGCCCACGCTGTTTGTTTCCCGTCCGAGGACGGGGAGATCTCGGGGGCTGCACAGCACACATACATACATACATGAAATAATGGCATAAAAGCACACACAATCCGCGAGCTAAATTCAAACACACACATAAAACCACACCTTGACACATAAAAATACACCCACACCACACACACACACCCACACACACACCTTGGCAAGCCCCTGCTTCAGCAACTGCTCAGCGAGGTGGCTCTGCTCGGTAGCAGCAGCGACAGCAGCAGTAGCAGGGGGGGCATCAGGAGCAGCAGGTGCCGCCGCGCCGGGCAGAACCGCCGGCTGAGTGTACAGCACCGTACCAAACAGGTTGCCGTACTTATCCACGCCCTCCAACACCAGCTTGACGTCGCGGTTCAGCACGCGGGCCTCTGTGAAGGCCTTGGC